TTTATTTGTTTTTGTTTCTAATGTCTCTGTAAAGCACTTTGAATCACCTTGTTGTTGAATTGTGCTATACAAATAAATTTGCCTTGCCTTGCCTAGATGTCAGAGATCCCAGTGGACATCGACATCACGAAGGAGTATGAGAAAACAGAAAAGTACCTGAAGGCTGAAGGAACAACTTGTGCAGATGTGGGAGGTAAAAATCCAAAGTGGTTCCAGTGGTAGCAGGAGCATTGGGAGCTGTTATTCCAGCAGATTCCAGGCACAGCATCTGAGTGTGCTCTTAGGAATACGGCAGAAACTTGAAACTACCAGGCAGAGGACCTGAGCTTCAGACGTATTTATAAGTAATTGTTGTTGGCAAGTAAAAATACTTACAAAGCATTTTTACTTGCTTTATAAGTAAAAATGAGTCAACATGAAATATACCCTTCCTGTCCAGCTCGGACCCACACAGGATCCAGCTCTTCTTTTTGTTGCTGCTGGATCTACAGAAGAAACACTTCCTGACGTGAAACCAGATTTGATGTCCTACAGAAGAGTAACCGCCATGTTTGTCTGTCCAGGCTGAACCGTGTTGGCAGCCGTGCAGGGCATCCCATTCCTTTGACAACAAGACCTTATTCACCAGTTTCACCAGTGTTACCATTCTTGACATGCTGCTGGTTGCTGATTGGTTTGTTTTGGAGTTGATTTACAGTCAGTCTCAGTGAAGCAGTTGAAAATGCAACCACCTTGTAGCTAACATTTTAGGTGTTATACATTTAATGCTCTTCTTCCTGTAGTACAGCAATGCCCTTACAGTGAATTCCAGTTTGCAGTGGTGCAGTGGTGGTTTACATTAATTTCAGTTTTTATCAAATTCGCCCAAAAATGTCAGACACCACTGAACCCACATTCTATCCAATTTGCGCCACAGAGATTAATCATGTGACTAAAACTGCTCAAATTTAAATAGAAACATAATATTTTGGGTCTTATAGAAATGTGACCATATGGAAAAATGCATTTTGTTTATTCAAAGAAAAACAGCAAATACGTCCAAATAGTTTGGATCTTAGGTCTAGAAGTGGAAATACTGGATGGAGCATTGTCCTGAGCTGTATGTTTCCCACCAGATCGAATAATGCCATGGTTAATGTTGACACTGCAGAGTGGGAGGAGAGGGTGGAAGCTTGGATGGAGGCCCGGGACTTGTCTAGAGAGTTACCCACAACTCTGCTCCCAGGATGAAAATATTGAAAGGCAAGCACTCTGCCCAATCAAATTAATTTTCTGCATGACATGCCATGACGCCTGAAAAAATGGTTGCTGCATGAGAAGCTATGTGTGTGTGTGTGTGTGTGTGTGTGTGTGTGTGTGTGTGTGTGTGTGTGTGTGTGTGAGGTAGGTAATTGGTGCTGGAAAATGTCAAGAGTAGATGTGAGAACCAAACTGTTGAAAAGAGCTCGTGCTTTTATTTTGAATACAGGAAGTACCTGACCATGCCTGTGTGTATGGGACGTGTTTCAGAGTCCTGCAGTGTGACTGTTAAAGTGTGTGTTGTTATGAACCTGTTATTTCTTACACAAAACAGACTCAGCACCCAGTAAATTGAACTAAACAAGCTGAAAATCACAAAGTCCTTCTTTTCATCTTGTTAATGAGTCAAAATGTTTATAAATTCCAACTCATATTCACCTCCTGTGCAGTTATTCTATGCATGCTCTGCTTTATCTGCCACACACATGAACTTCCAGTGTGTACGACTGAAGTACACCACCCTGTTTAAAGTACACACGCTATGTGTGTGCTCCACACCTCCACACAGCTCCTCCATTTATGAGTGAAATACACTGAGGCAGAAACAAGGATGAAAACATGCTTTTAAAAATGCAAATAAATAAAATGAATTGAGTTCTGTAATATTTTCACGTATAAGGGATGAATGGGCTTTTTACTGTAAACTTAAAACATTTACAGCATTGCATTTGTTTATATTTGTTGGCATTACAAATACTTGATTATTATTTCTGTGTCAGAATTTCCTCACTACAGAGTAACAAGCTACCAGTTTGGGACACGGTGAACTTTAGCAGCCTAAACTGTCTTTGTTGTTACAGCTTACAGTTTAGCTTAATGTGACCTTGAACCATCACACTGTTGTGCTGCTACGCACACAGGCTGCTGGGGGAGCTCCTGTGGTGAGTTGGGCGAGTTGCCTTTATTCTCCTCTGTTTCACTCTCTGTGCTTTTACATTAACCTTGTGTCTTCTCTCTGTGCTTTGTCTGCATGCAGTTCTGCTGCTCTGTGGTTACTGCTCCAAAGATCTGAATGTTGAATGTTGTTTCTTCTTTGCTCCGTCTTCCTGACCAAGTACCTCTGGGATTGTTGGGGTTCCTTCTCCTGTATCGCCTTGACTGTTGTGAACTAGCACTAACAACTCTGTGGTGCAGTGGTCAGCCCGAAAGCCTGACCAGTGTCTGGGTTGGCCTGGATGTTCCTGTGCCTGTGTGGGCTTCCTCCAGCTGCTCCTGCTGCCTTATAGGCTGAAAACACGAATGCTAGTTCTAAATAAATCCATGGATGCGACAGTGTGTGACTGTCCATCCCTGTGTTGTAGTCCTGTGGAGTGCTGGTTCCTGTCAGGGTGTACTCTGGCTGGCTCATCCTGCTGCAGTACCGGGTTTAGAAACTTGAATTTAATGTGAAATCCACTTTTTTTGATGACATTGAGGAAACATATTTTTTTCTTTAAAAGCTTGTCCATTATTAAACATTTCTGTCTCATAGTGATGTCACTACAGTAATTATAGCACAGATTCTGAACATCAACAAATACTCAACAACCTCACAATATGATTGGTAATGGAACTAAACTACTAAACTAAACTAAACTATCCCAAAACCTAACAAAGGAGTCAAACAGTGACCGCAAATAAAATAATTGGAGATAAAGTATCAGAGTTTCTGGAGCAGGACGACGCCTCCAAACACGCTGCTTCCGGTTCTTATCCATATATGTTCCCCCAGTTAGCTGTTAGTTCTCGTTTACGTGCCCCACCCTCCCCTTTTCAATTCTTTAACTTCTTCACTTCTATTCATGTTGATCTGCCCGGGAGCCGCCGCCAGTCCCTTCAAGTCTTTCCCCAAACCACAGCTTAATTCATGTCCAAGCGTTCACCTTTATCTACTAAGACACTGTCAAACCTAAAATGAGGACGTGGGCCCAGCTAGTGAAAATACCAAAGCACAAAACGAAACAAAGACGATTTCCAAATTTAAAAGTCCGGCTCCGATCCCACAGTCATGTGTTTGAAGTGTGCCACAGACACATCAGCACGCACTGCATTTTAGGCATGAACATCGATCCGTCTGTCCGTCTGCGTCATTTGAAGAGAAGAAAAGGTGACTGTGCAGATCGAACACTGCTGGCTGTGGATAGGGGCACATCTGTCGCAGAGCTCTGTGGTCTGACTGCAGTTGTGGGACAGACCACCAGCAAAGCTGCTGCGTAATATTATCAGATGAATTCAATTAATATAATGTCATTTCTCTTAAGTGCTGCTTCTCTAATTAAGTATGGAGAGCAGACCTCCCACTGGTTAACAAAGTATCACAGCGTGTGTGAGTCTGTACGGCAGCAATGCAAACACACTCAGCCTAACTGTGTGTGTGTTTGTGTTAATCCACGTGTGTGTAAGGCTTGCGCACAATCACAGACACGCTCACACATTAACAGAAGTGGTAAAGATGAAGAAATATCTGGAGGCTGGTATAATTAGGGCCAATTCAATTGGACTCTGATACTTCATTATACACCTGCCAACAACACCAGCGATTGATGGCCATATTTTCTTTCTCCATTTCGTTTTCTCGCTCATTAATGGTGTGGAATTAATGAAAATGGCTCAGAGTGGCCTCGTTCACACTGGAGAACAGCATTTCCACTGCATAATGTGCAAGTTAGCTGTGTGAGCGAGTCTGTGTTGGTGAACTTTTCACCCGAGGGGTCTTTGTCACATTTATGATTTTTCTATGATAAAGGGGGCTTTGCTACATATAGGACTCCACCAGCAGCTGCTGTCGCACACATGCATGCTGCACGCTGCGTGCTGCATGCTGCACGCTGCGTGGTCAGCCAACGCAGGATATGGTGTGGAAGCCTGGCAGCATTATCTCACTCCCCACTGGACACCTACACAAAGTGATGATTTATAGTGAATGTAAGTCCCCATGTAGTGCCCAGTGCTGCTGTCCAGCAGCGACATCAAAGCTGCTATGACCAACACTGAGTAATTTATAAAAGGGACTGACTTTGTTTTTGTGTTGGTGCCACAGACAGTACGTGATCTTTGAAATAACGCTGACACTGAAGTCAGTATGCGAGCGTAATGTGCTTGCAAAGAGGTGGTCTTTGCAGCTTTCCACAGTCAAGGATGTAAGGGAGATTTTTATGACTTTTTCTTGTACCTCCTAAAATCCTGCTGGTAGTGAACGGTGGGCTCACCAGATTTGACTCAGAGGAAGAGACACGCTCTGATTGTTCACTCTCACTGTTGGTATCCACTGTAAACCCCGACAGGTGACCTGACTGATAACGACTGTGGGGATATCCATCTAAATCTCTCACAGTGTTTAAACACCTTAGAGCTTATATACATATATAGATTTGAAAACGGCATTTTCAAATCTATCAGGGCCACTGTGGACGTAGCCTATGTTTGAGTAAATGTTTTTTCTGAGCTCCGTATACACACGTCAACATTTCCGCTCTACCCTGAATGACGCTGACAGAAAATCTGTTCAATATGGCCGCCATGTGATGTTTTAGCTTGTTGTAAATGTGGATATTGTGTGGCAGCAAAGAAAATGTGCGTTTGAATGTGCTGTGAGACAGCGCACACGAAGGTCAGTCAGCTGATGTTCGCGCTCGTTTCTGAACACACATCGTCGATTTTTCAGTTTTAACTGATTGTGTACATAATGTGTCAACGACACACCTGAGAAAAGTGTGACTGCTTTTTTTACAGCAGCCTCACAGTCACATGTGTTTTTCATCTTAAAATTTAACAACTTTTCTGATGACTTAGGTAGCTTCTGTCCACAGTGATTAAAACGAATACCCAGACTCAAGGTCTGTGAGCCCAATAAATATATTGTTTTTTTAATCAAACTGAATCATGTTGAAAAGGTAAATATATGTTTTCTTGATTTACAAAAGAAGCAGTCTAATGTACTCTATTCATTTTCTCACAAGGCTGAAAAATAGCTTTGTGATACAAAGAGGTTCAGTGCCCATTCTTAAAAATGAAATTAGGACAACATCTAAAAATAGGCTGCACACAAACTGTGAAATTCCTCTTTGAAGGTTGGATTTGACAGCTAAGTCAGTTACTTGTCTTCATGTTTGATGTTCTGTGTTCCTGGTGTTTGTAGGTTTGTGCTGAGTTTCACCGAGTCACAAACATGCGCTGGACACAGACACACACCACGACCCGACACAGACAGAAGGCAGCGGTAAGACATCAGAGGCAGTGCAGAATATCCTGAATGTTTGTGATCATCAGGTGAATAAAGATAAAGATACATTTGTTACCACTAAGTTTCACTGATCACTCACGTTTGTTTGTTTAAGACTTGTGTCTTTAATGCTGAGAACATCGGTTTCTATCCAGATCAAAGCTTTGATCCAAACCACAGTGTTGTAAATAACTTGAGCTGATTTTTGTCACATGACTAAGAAAAAGGCTCTTTTGTATGGGAGTGACAGAAATGTCATGATGACACCTGTAAACTTGATACACTGAATCAACTCTTCTTCTTTTCTCTTCCCTTTTAGGAAGCAGCTGTCAGTGTGAAACACTCTGCAGCTCCTCCAGTATATCTGCATCACAGAGACATGTAATGTGAGTGTTATTTGCATGACCTAACTTACTAACAGTGAGGCAATACTCCCTCCTACCCACGCTTTCTGTGGGTATTTTTACCCGAGCAGCTACCATATGGCCCTGGAAAAAATGCATCCGACCCTACCGACCATCGAGTAAATACTTTGTTGCTGAATATTTTGCTACACTGTCAAATTACCTCAAGGCCGTGTTACTTATTGATACTGTGTCTATTCCAAGTGGGATGAGACAAACATGACTGACACTCCA